GGACAGTGCACAACTAGACTAAGTACTGATCAATCATGTAAAGTTTGGAAAAAATTGCACCAGTAGCTTATGAGGAGTAGTCCGGACAAGCTTTTGCGTATCTGGCAACACACAGAAAAAAACACCTTTTTATCAAAGGGCCATAACTCAGCCAAAAATCATTCAACCGGAAAACCCGTGCAATATGCGCAAGGACTTGAGCTACAGATCAATCCTGTAAAGTTTCATTGAAATTGCATAAGTGGTATAAGAGAACTAGTCCGGACAAACTTTAAAAATAAAAATTATTAAAGGGCCATAACTGTGACGAAAATCATTGAACCGGAAAATGCTGACAATATGCACAACTAGACTTGGTACTGATCATTCCTGTAAAGTTTGGATGAAATTGCACCAGTAGTTTATGAGGAGTAGTCCGGACAAGCTATTGTGTATCTGGCAACACACAGAAAAAAACACCTTTTTATCAAAGGGCCATAACTCGGCCAAAAATCATTCAACCGGAAAACCCTTGCAATATGCGCAAGGACTTGAGCTACAGATCAATCCTGTAAAGTTTCATTGAAATTGCATTAGTGGTAAAAGAGAAGTAGTCCGGACAAACTTTAAAATTAAAAATTATTAAAGGGCCATAACTCTGACAAAAATCATTGAACCGGAAAATGCTGACAATATGCACAACTAGACTTGGTACTGATCATTCCTGTAAAGTTTGGATGAAATTGCACCAGTAGTTTATGAGGGGTAGTCCGGACAAGTTTTGTGACGGACGGACGGACAGACGGACAGACAGACAGACGACGGAGAAGTGATCCCTATATGTCGCCACTACTCCGTAGAGGCGACACAAAAATGGTTTTCAAACAATTTTTACATATATGAAAAAAATACCGTATACCATCAAGTCTCAATAAAGTATTGAGATTCCAATTTTGACACCAGGGGAAAAATTTGAACAACTTTGGTAGAGAACCTATAGATGATATTATAAAGCAAACATCAAAGCTCTATGCCTTGTACCTTCAGACAAAAATATTTTTTATATTTTTACTATATGTACATAATGAAAATCAATGACCCCAGGGCTATAATTTGAACAATCTTGGTAATGGTTCACTTCGCAAAGTCTCATGCAATATATTTAACCTCTAGCCTTTGTCAATTCAGAGAAGAAGATTTTTCAAGTTTTTACTTTATGCATATAAGGAAAACTATCGCCTCTGGGGCAGGGCAATTTTAACACTAGGGGCATAATTAAAACAGCTTTAGTAGAGGACCCATAGATGATATTATATACTAAATATCAAAGCTCTAAGCCTTGTGTACTTTCAGACAAGAAGATCTTTTAATTTTTTACTATATGTACATAGTGAAAATCAATGACCCCTGGGGGTGGGGCTAATTTTGACCCCAGGGCTATAATTTGTACAATCTTGCTAGAGGTTCAATACACAATGTTTCATGCAAAATATCTTAACTCTAGCCTTTGTAAATTTAGAGAAGATGATTTTTTAAGTTTTTACTATATACATATAAGGAAAACCTATGGCCACCGGGGCGGGGCTAAATTTGACACTAGAGGCAAAATTTGAACAACTTTGGTAGAGTACATATAGATGATATCATTTAACAAATATTAAAGCTCTAAGCCTTGTACCTTCACACAATAAGATATTTTGATTTTTTACTATATCATCATCATTGTATATATTGAATATCAATGACCCCCGGGGCGGGGGCAATTTTGACCCCAGGGCTATAATTTGTACAATCTTGCTAGAGGTTCAATACACAATGTTTCATGCAAAATATCTTAACTCTAGCCTTTGTAAATTTAGAGAAGATGATTTTTTAAGTTTTTACTATATACATATAAGGAAAACCTATGGCCCCCGGGGCGGGGCTAAATTTGACACTAGAGGCAAAATTTGAACAACTTTTGTAGAGTACCTATAGATGATATCATTTAACAAATATTAAAGCTCTAAGCCTTGTACCTTCACACAATAAGATATTTTGATTTTTTACTATATCATCATCATTGTATATATTGAATATCAATGACCCCCGGGGCGGGGGCAATTTTGACCCCAGGCTATAATTTGAACAATCTTGCTAGAGGTTCACTTCACAATGTTTAATGCAAAATATTTAACCTCTAGCATTTGACAATTGCTAGAAGAAATATTTTTAAAGTTTTTACTACAAGTTTTTACTATATACATATAAGGAAAACCAATGACCCCCGGAGCGGGCCGATTTTGACCCCAGGGCTATAATTTGAACAATCTGGGTAGAGGTCTACCAGACAATGGCTTATGCAAAATATCTAAGCTCTAGGCCTTTTGGGTCTTTACAAGAAGGTATTTTAAGTTTTTACTATATGTACATTTAGTGAAAATCAATGACCCCAAGGGCGGGGCCGATTTTGACCCCAGGGCTATAATTTGAACAATCCTGGTAGAGGTCTACCAGACAATGCCTTATGCAAAATATCTAAGCTCTAGGACTTTTGGGTCTTTACAAGAAGATTTTTTAAATTTATTCTTATAATTCCTTTTGGTTGCCATGGCAACCAGATTTCTGCATGGAATGAAATTCTTTGAACAACTTTGGAAGCCTTTCACCGAAGGATCAATCCTGCCAAGTATGGCTGAAATTGGGCGAGTGGTTTTTCACAAGAAGATTTTTTAAGCTCACTATATAATCTATTTAACACACACACAAACAAACACACACACATACACACACACAGTTGAATCGCTATATGCCACCGCAAAGCAGATGCTGCGGTGGCATAAAAAGACACACAAGTAGAAACGGAGAATTTACTGTTACCCATTGTTCTCCAAGTCACACAAGTACCTCTGGGTTTGTACGGACAGACTGAAGGACAGACGGACAGAGCCTATTTCTATATCCCTCTTTTTTTCGAAAAGGCGGGGGACAATAAGGTATAGAATAAATGCAATGTTAATGACTGATGCTACATATGTGTTTGTGTTTAATTTTCTTAGTTTTTGTAGACTAAAGGATAAATGTTTTATTTCTGTTAAAGCGAAAGCAAATTAGGAAATAAATTTTAATCATTGCCTGTAATCATGGATTTTATCAATTTTAATTGGTTTATTCCAGAGTAAACAAGCAATTATCATTACTTTTCATTACTTTTTGCATTATCACTAGATCCAGTTTATATGTTAAATTTGCCATATTTTCAGTCTATTTGTTGAATTTTCAACATAGGGAGAAAAGAAAAAGACATGCATAATCTCCATACTACCATCTATCAAGTTTCATAAAAATATTTTCAGTACTTTTGCGTTATCACTGGATCCAGTTTATGTGTTAAATTTGCCATATTTTCAAACTATTTGTTGCCATAGCAACCAGAATTTTCAATATAGGAAGAAAAGAAAAAAACATGCATAATCTCCATACTGCCATCTATCCATATATCAAGTTTCATAAAAATATTTTCATAACTTTTTGCGTTATTGCTGGATCCAGTTTTGTATATACATGATATAAGGAAACCTAAGACCCTTGGGCCGGACCAATTTTGATACTAGGGGCAAAATTTGAACAACTTTGGTAGAGAACCTATAGATCAGACTATATACCAAATATCAAAGCTCTAAGCCTGATGTACCTTCAGGCAAAATTTTTTTTTAAGTTTTTACTATATGTACATAGTGAAAATCAATGACCCCCTAGGGAGGGGCCAACTTGATCCAAGGGCTATAATATGAACAATCTTGATAGAGGTCCACTACACAATGTTTCATGCCAAATATCTAACCTCTAGCCTTTGTCAATTCAGAGAAGATTTTTTAGATTTTACTATATACATATATGGAAAATCTATGACCCCCAGGGCCGGGCCAATTTTGACATTAGAGGCAAAATTTGAACAACTTTAGTAGATCTCGGACCTATTATGATATCATATACCAAAATCAAAGCTCTAAGCCTTGTACCCTAAGACAAGAAGTTTTTTTAAGTTTTTACTATATGAACATCAACATTAACAAGTGAAAATCAATGACCCCCAGGGTGGGACCAATTTTGACCCCAGGGCTATAATTTGAACAATCTTGGTAGAGGTCTACCAGACAATGCATTATGCAAAATATCTAAGCTCTAGGCCGTGTGGGTTGTTACAAGAAGATTTTTTAAATTCATTCTTATCATTCCTTTTGGTTGCCATGGCAACTAGTCAAAATATATTGACGTGCCAAAGCTTGATTCTGAGATATTTTCGTTCTGGGACAGAATCTCGCTTTAGAGGCGAGATATTGCCCAGACACGAAAATAGCACAATATCTCGTCGCGCAGTACAATTAGTTGGACTACCATGGCAAACAGATTTCTGCATGGAATCAAATTCTTTGAACAAGTTTGGAAGCCCTTCACCCAAGGAACAATCCTGCCAAGTTAGGTTGAAATTGGACAAGTGGTTTTTCACAAGAAGATTTTTTAAGTTCACTATATAATCTATATAACACACAGGCACACACAAACACACACACACACACACAGGTGAATCACTATATGCCATCGCAGATACTGCGGTGGTATAAAAATGGAAAATTGGTGTTAACAATGCTGCACACAGCATTACCGTGCAATAATCGCTTGTGACAGAATACATTTTTGGTAAAGTTGATTTTCCTTTGATTTTTCAAAAGAGCGAAATGGGGATTCAATGCAGAAAATGTGTGCCGACTCAATCGTGATGAGCCCTGAACATAATTTATTTGTACATGCATTAAAAAGAGAAAGTAGGTCATCATTTGGCAACTCAAATACATGGTGTAGTATAGTGCATAGAAGTACCACCGTTTAAACGGTACCGTTTCGGTTCTTTGCAATCGTGTAAACGTTTACAAAAAATTGCAAACGTGAGAGCCTTTGCAATTACTTAACAATATCTCCAATTTTTTTTTTTTAAAAAGTCGAGCTAAAAAGGATGAAAAACCATATTATATGTAACTTACTTGTTCTAAAATTCGCCTTATACCTTCCCTTGGGGCATCACTGTAATTTTGTGGGTCCTCAGACAACAACTTCATCACAGTGATGTTGCCAGAAGGGCCTTGAGCCCATATGTCAGTGAATGTTCCACCACGATCAATAGCAAATCTAAATTTACCCTTAGTCATTCTTTTAGAAAAAGTGTCACACCTCTTGATGTTAAGGCAGACTGAAATAAACAAGCAATTATCATAGTATTGCAAGCAATCCATAAGTCCCCTACCGGTTAGAACCCCATCAACATTCTGAAGGGCCAATGATGATGGCCATTCACTAATGTTTCAATTTTTCTATATTTTAAGTAAATTTGTTGGAAAAGTTCTTTAAAAGTGATCACAGGAAACAGTTTTTATGAACAGACAGACAGACGGACTGAAGGACACTCTAAAGTTAATATTTGAAACATCCCTGTTACCAAAATATAACATTTTTAAAAGCAAAATGCTTAAAGAGGAGATAACTCTTGAATTAAAGATGCAATTTCATAAAAAATTTCAGCTCTTTTTGACTTATCACAAACAATGTTATATTTGCCATGTTTTAAGCCTACAATGTATTTGTTGCCAAGGCAACCAATATTTTTTCAAAATAGGGAGAACAGATAAGACATGCATAATCTCAAGACTGCCATCTACCCATATATCAAGTTTCATAAAAATATTTCCAGTACTTTTTGAGTTATCACTGGATTCAGTGTAAGTGTAAAATTTGCCATATTTTCAGTCTATTTGTTGCCATAGCAACCAGAATTTTCAGCATAGGAAGAAAAGAAAAAAACGTGCATAATCTCCAGACTGCCATCTACCCATATTACGAGTTTCATAAAAACATTTCTATTACTTTTTGCGTTAACACAGGATCCAGTTTATGTGTAAAATTTGGCATATTTTCAGTCTATTTGTTGCCATAGCAACCAGAATTTTCAACATAGGAAGAAAAGAAAAAGACGTGCATAATCTCCAGACTGCCATCTACCCATATTTCAAGTTTCATAAAAATATTTCCAGTACTTTTTGTGTTATCACTGGATCCAGTTTATGTGTAAAATTTGCCATATTTTAAGCCTATTTGTTGCCATAGCAACCAGAATTTTCAACATAGGAAGAAAAGAAAAAGACGTGCATAATCTCCATACTGCCATCTATCCATATATCAAGTTTCATAAAAATATTTTCAGTACTTTTCAAGTTATCGCGGGATCCAGTTTTGTGGACGGACGGACTGACTGTCAGTCCGTCCGTCCGTCCACAAAGACGGACTGACAGACGGACTGGGACTTACTTAGCAGACGTGTTTGTGGGGTTATTCCTTTGATCTCTTAACCCCACAAGAGCAAATTTTTTTAACCCCATAAGAGCATTTTTAACCACATAATACATGTCTCTACGGAATGAACCCCATACAGAGTGCCTGTACATAAACCTAAACCTCATAATGTAGCTCTCGTCTGCTCGGACGGACGGACAGACAGACAGACGGACTGTAAACCTAAAGTCCCCTCCGGTAAACCGGTAGGGGACTAACAAGATTGCATTTGTGAAAAATGCTATGTCACCGCATTAATACAACACTAAATAGTAGGAACAGAAATAAATCTTTTTTGTTTCTATACAATTGAACTTTGCCAAATTGCAGAAGTGTCTGGTGAATTTGGGGGTCAAGGTCATATTTCAAATTGCATTTCAAACTATAACTGTCACTGTCATGGCGTGAATACCCCTACATAACACTTTGTCAGAATCAACAGTAGTCATTTATGGCTCAAGGACAACCTCCCGGTGAGTAAGCCAGTGCATTGCTAAGTTATGTATTCTACATGCTTCAAATGTAAAAATGTCAAAATCAATACACTTTTGACAGGCATTCTGAAGCATTTGCGTAGACAATATTATTGTAGAAAAACCCCTGTGACCTGACCTTTGTGTACAGTCACCTAAAAATCAATAGGGGTCATCAACTAGTCATAAACAACCTCAATATTAAATATGAAAACTGTTGACCAAATCATTCTTAAGCAATTGAACAGACCCAGTGACCTCAAAATCAATAGGGGTCATCTACTAATCATGACTAACCATCATGCCAAATATGAAGACTTTGGGTGAAAGGAACCTTAAGTTATTGGGCGGACAAGCTTTTTTTTAGTAAAGGCCACCTGTGACCTTAACCTTTGACCCAGTGAGCTCAAAATCAATACCGTCATCTACTGATCATGGCTAACCACCATGCCGAATATAAAGACTGTGGGTCAAAGAAATCTTAAGTTATTGGGCGGACATGGAAAAACAAGGTAATCCCATCCGGCCAGACAAGCTGATTCCAGTATACCCACCTTACAACTTTGTTTTACGGGGGTATAATGAAAGACAATATGCAGATATGTCTAAGGCCATAGGATAACTGATACAGTTTAAAAAAAGTATTCTTACTTGATAAAATTTTGGTATTTACTGTATGTACTATAAAACATAATGAAATACATTTACAGTTATTTTTCTTAAATGATATCTTTTCAATTAAGCATTACCTACTAAGGAAAACATAAACAAGAGGGCCATGATGGCCCTTATATCGCTCACCTGATTATGAAGGTTCAATCCAATTTTATTTGGGCTGTTTGACCTAGTTTTTTAACCACAGATGACCCATATTTAAACTTGACTTAGCAATCACCAAAACAACCTTTCTGACCAATTTTCAGATTATTTGGATCATAACAGTAGCCTTTGAGGTGTAAACAAGGTTTTTCCATATAAGGGCTGTGTGACCTGGTTTCTGAACACAAGTGACCCATATCTTTACTTGACCTGGAATACATCATTACAACCATTCTGACCAATTTCAACGATATTTTATCTGGAACAGTAGCCGCTAGGGTGTAAACAAGGTTTTCCAATATGACCAACATTTGAACTTGACCAAGAAATCAACAAGAATTTGTAACAGAGTTACCAACGTCCCATGCCTCAGGGAAATTTTATATGAAGCATAAAATTGTGCTATTACAAAAGATTGAGGTATGGATCTCAGGACTTTCAGTCCAAAATTATGATCAATGCTAGAACTGCAAATGCAACAATTAATTTATTAAAGGAATAAAATGAAACACAGAATTTAACAAGCAAATTCGTTGAATTTATATCCCCCGCCGAGTACTGGTTATTATTAACACAACAACTGAAGACATAAGGCTTTATTTATATATTAATCATCATAGGCATAAACAGAAATATTCTTTGAACTTGATAAATATTCAGGGCAATAACAGAGCCATAACTTTGTGTTAAATAGTAATATCTGGAAATGCCAATGAGATGTATGCATACTACATAACTAATCAAGGGCCATAAATCTGAGTTATAAGTATCTGACCCGAACAAGGCGACTATATGCACATCTCCTCTTAGAATCCCATAAAGTTTCATTGAATTCCAGCCAGTAGTTGCAGAGAAGTAGCGAGGAAACGAATATTTTCCTATATGGATACTGCATAACTGATCAAGGGCAATAACTCTGAGTTAAAGTGTCTGACGCCAACAAGGCAATGTTATGCACATCTTCTCTTGGTATTGAAGGTTACCATAAAGTTTCATTGAATTCCAGCCAGTAGTTGCAGAGAAGTAGCACCGTAATGATTTTTGCTCTATATGCATACTGCATAACTAATCAAGGGCCATAACTCTGAGTTTAAGTGTCTGACCAGAACAAGGCGACGATACGCGCATCTCCTCTAGGTATTGAAGATTCCCATAAAGTTTCGTTGAATTCCAGCCATTAGTTGCAGAGAAGTAGCGCGGAAACGATTTTTTCTCTATATGCATACTGCATAACTAATCAAGGGCCATAACTCTGTGTTAAAGGGTCTGAGCGGAACAAGCCGACGATATGAGCATCTCCTCTTGATATTGATGATTCCCATAAAGTTTCGTTGAATTCCAGCCAGCCAGTAGTTGCAGAGAACTACTCCGGAAACAAAATTCAGACGGACGGACGGTCAGATGCGCATCTCCTCTTGATATTGATGATTCCCATAAAGTTTCGTTGAATTCCAGCCAGTAGTTGCAGAGAACTACTCCGGAAACGAAATTCGGACGGAAGGATGGACGGACAGACGGAAGGACAGACGGACAACGCCAAAACTATATCCCCCACCCTATTCCATCGGCGGGGGATAACTAGAAATGTGTCCATAGGACATGGGTGCCCCCACACACCACTGTTCTGTCAATGTTATGACTCTAGGTCAAATATTTTTTGGACTACATGTGCAACAAGTTGAAAACTAAAAATCTTTTAATAGTTAAAGGGCAAGAACTTTACAAATACTGAATAAATCTACAAGCAAACCCCAAGGTGCATAAGTTCACATGCTGACCAACACTCTTGTAAACTTTCAGGCCTACAAGTCAAATACCTTTTGAGCTATGCATGAACATGATGAAAACTGCAAATTTATACTACTGTAAGTCAAGGGCAATAACTCTAACAAAACTGAAAAAAATCCACATGCAAAGTCCCAGGTGCATAGCTTCACTGTGATGTTGATCATTATTCCTGTAATTTAGTGATGTTGATCATTATTCCTGTAAAGTTGGTTGATTCTAACTCAAGCAATCAAGGAACAAATAACACAACATAATGAAACGGTTTTTACTAAGTCAAGGGCAATAATTCTGAAAATACTAAATAAATCCACATGAAAATACCCAGATGCACAACTGCACATGCTGAACAACATTCTTGTAAAGTTTCATGACTCTTTGTCAAATCCTTTTTGAGATACATGTGACACAAGTTGAAAATTGCAAAATTTTACTAAAAGAAATGCAATAACTCTAAATATACTGTATAAATCCACAAGAAAATACCAAGGTGCACAACTACACATGCTGATCAACATTACAATAAAGTTTCATGACTCTAGGTCAAATCCTTTTTGAGTTACATGCGACACAAGTTAAAAAATTCAGATTTTTGAGATACATGTGACACAAGTTGAAAATTGCAAAATTTTACTAAAAGAAATGCAATAACTCTAAATATACTGTATAAATCCACAAGAAAATACCAAGGTGCACAACTACACATGCTGATCAACATTACAATAAAGTTTCATGACTCTAGGTCAAATCCTTTTTGAGTTACATGCGACACAAGTTAAAAAATTCAGATTTTTACTAAGTCAAGGGCAATAAAAATACTAAATAAATCCACAGGAAAATACCCAGGTGCACAACTACACATGCTGATCAACATTCCTGTAAAGTTTCATGACTCTATGTCAAATCCTTTTTGAGTAACATGCGACACAAGTTGAAAATTGCAAAATTTTACTGAGTCAAGGGCAATAATTCTAAAAATACTTTATTAATCCATACGCAAATACCCAGGTGCACAACTACACATGCTGATCAACATTCCTGTAAAGTTTCATGACTCTAGGTCAAATCCTTTTTAAGTTACATGCGACACAAGTTGAAAATTGCAAATTTTTACTAAGTCAAGGGCAATAATTCTAAAAATACAATATAAATCCACAGAAAAATACCCAGGTGCATAACTACACATGCTTATCAACATTCCTGTAAAGTTTCATGACTCTATGTCAAATCCTTTTTGAGTTACATATGACACAAGTTGAAAAGTGCAAAATTTTACTGAGTCAAGGGCAATAACTCTAAAAGCACTTAATAAATCCACACGAAAATACCCAGGTGCACAACTTCACATGCTGATCAACATTCCTGTACAGTTTCATGACTCTAGGTCAAATCCTTTTTGAGTTACATGCGACACAAGTTGAAAATTGCAAATTTTTACTAAGTCAAGGGCAATAACTCTAAAGATACTGAATAAATCCACAGGAAAATACCCAGGTGCACAACTGCACATGCTGATCAACATTCCTATTAAGTTACATGACTCTAGGTCAAATACCTTTTGAGTTACGTGCAACACAAAAAAGAATGGACGGAGTGATGGAAGGACAGACGGACAAGGGTAAATCTAAATCCCCCCCCCCCCGCTAAAGTGGGGGCACAAAAAATCTATCATGTTAAGCTTTGACCTCTAAGTGTGACCTTGACCTTGGAAGTACATGAAGGGGTGCAGGTGTTGTGCATGACATATCCTCTTATTATTGTAACTATTTGTACCAAGTATTTTCAAAATCCCTTGAACTATGAAGAAGTTATAGATCAGACACAAAATATACCCTATAACAGACTAGGTCAATCTTTGACCTCTAAGTGTGACCTTGGAGGTAGGGACCCATGTTTTGCGCCTGACATATCGTCTTATTATTGTGATTATTTGTGCAAGTATTTTTAAAAACACTTGATCTATGAAAAAGTTATGGATTGGACACAAAATATACCCTATAACAGACTATGTAAATCTTTGATCTCTAAGTGTGACCTTGACCTTGGAGGTAGAGACACGGCTGTTATGCATGACATATCATCTTATCATTGTGACTATTTGTGCCAAGTATTTTCAAAATCCCTTGATCTATTAAGAAGTTATTTACGGGTCACAAAATATACCATATAACAAACTCTGTTAACCTTTGACCTCGAAGTGTGACCTTGACCTTGGAGGTAAGGGTGCAGGTATTGTTCCTGACATATCGTCATATTAATGTGACTATTTGTGCCAAGTTATTTCAAAATCCCTTGAACTATGAAGAAGTTCTAGATAGGACACAAAATATACCCTATAACAGACTATGCTAATCTTTGACCTCCAAGTGGGACCTTGACCTTGAAGGTAGGTGACCGGTTGTTGAGCAGGACAAATTGTCTTATTATTGTAAAAAATTATGGCAAGTATTCCTTCAAAGATAAGAAAGTTATGGACCAGACACGACATATACCCTCAAATAGACAATGTTGACCTTGAATGAGCAAGTGCTATTTTGACTGTAGAGGTAGGGGTCTGGTTGTTGCGCACGACACATCCTCTTATTATAACAAACATTTGTGCCAAGTTATTTCACATTCCTTTAATAAATGACAAAGTTATGGACCGTACACTAAAGTGTGATGGACGGACAGACGGATGGAGCCTGTTTCTATATCCCCCCATTTTTCTTGGAAAATGGGGGTGACAATCAAACAACCCTTTGACCAATTTCCAGGATATTTGGATCAAAACAGTACCCTCTAGAGTGTCAGCAAGGTTTTTCCATATTTGGCTGTGTGATCTAGTTTTTGACCCCAGGTGACCCATATTCAACTCAACCTAGAAATCATCAAACAACCTTTCTGGCCACTTCACAGGATTTTGGGATCAAAACAGTAGCCTCTAGAGATAAATTTACTGATAAAGAAATCAATAAAATTGCAGATGGTCCATAAATTTACAGATTATCAGTAAATACTCATGAAATCATAGACCTGATAATATGTGATTTACTCAATTACTTTCGGAGTTATCTCATCAACAGTATCTTCGGTATATATTGTTTTAGTTTTCTCTCCTCACCTTTGAATCAGACATACCTATAACAAATACTTAGATCTTTATGACGACTGTCTACGTCGACAAAATAATATGAAAATCACTGTGTTAACTTTTAAGAAATTTGACAGGTCGCGAAATTTTGGACAACTTTATATTATCGGGTTTTATGCTTTTCTCTCGTCGATTCGTGACTCTTATTTGGAAAAATTGCACTTGCACAACAAATAGCAGACATACATACAGTTCAATTAGTGCATTTGTTAAATAAATTCATTATCTAAAAGTTCAAAAACTTTAAATTACTTCTAAAAAAACCGCTCAAAGATTAGAGCATCTGAACATGTCAACCATGACTGTCTTGCTCAGCTGGACGCTTACCTTGTGACGTCATCAAAATTTAGGTGCTCACACCACTAAATGTTCGCATTGTTATTTTCAGCCATATGTTTCAAAGTCTATAAGTAAATTCTTACAGCATAATGAATATTTATTTGGCTTAAGTATGTGTGTTTAATAAATTAAAACATCAATATCGAATATTTTAAAGTAATTTGGTCACCAGCTGATTGTAGGGTAAGGTCATTTACACCTGTTCAATTACGCATTTTGATTGGATAGAATTGTCTAATAAAACTTGTGTAGTTTTCGGATGGTGTATGTCCATGCAGAAGTATTTATACCAGACAATTATTTAGGTCACGAATCGATGAGAAGGCACGAATTCATACATACATACGTACGTACACGTACCTACCTACGTGGGCCCCATTACTGACAAAAAATATGTCGGCATGCCTTGGAATACGTCTTTATTATCCCACCAAACAATGATGTAGGTAGATAGGTACGTGTACGTATGTATGTATGTATTCGTGCCTTCTCATCGATTCGTGACCTAAATAATTGTCTGGTATAAATACTTCTGCAAGGACATACGCCGGGGGGGGGGGGGGGTCAATTCAAGCTTCCATAAAAACAGAAACATTGCACATAATGAGTAACATTTTGACGAGAAATTAATATTTAAAAGGTCTTTTTCGGAAAACATGTAGACGCAATTACTAAAGTGTAGTCTGGTTTTCGTTACATTTTTGTCGAGAAATGCTATATATCAATATACACATCAGCGGTAATCTTGCACGACCGTAGGGAGTGCTATATTATCCACGTGAGAATAAGTGCATATTTTATCATACACGATAAATAACCCTTTTATTAAATACTTATTTCAAAATTGTATACTGAGTTAAAAATAAAACCTTCATTGTTGAAATATTTTTAAAAATGGCTTTTAATAATGTAACTGTCTGGTTACGTTATCCAGCCAACATGACATTAAAGTTATTTTGATGATGGCGTAAACGTCAACGCGCAGTAGTCAAGGGGCAGGACGTGAAGTGGTTGCACACTTGGTTCAAGCGAGCGAATTGGTTGCAAACTTGACAAAATGGCGAACACGGCGTGATTTTTTGAAACGGATGAACGAGTTTTTGCCAGGCAAGTGGGTTTCTTTGTTATTTTGAAGTTCATTAGTATGTCTTTTTCATAATGCAATATATATGCCACACTCGGTTAAAGGTTTCAGCATCCTAGATTCTGTTTTGACGATGTTATTGAAGATATAAACTGATCATGTACATATTTTTAAATTTGACATGTGTGACTGTTCTGGTCGGTTTTTCTCCTAATTTATTCGAATTTGTAAGTTTTGAACTGCATTAAACAATAACAAAATATGTTTCTGTCAATGCTGTACAAATGGTTTAGTTCGCAAGTCCGAAGATAACGTTCAATACACAAAAATATCTTTTTCAAGCAAAAATATCTTGTTTAAAAAAAAAAAACATTTCTCAAACAAAAACAAGTGTTGGGGGCCTAAATAAGGCATTTTTTCACCATTAGAGACAACAACAAAAAGGTGGGGGTGAAAAAGGCGTTAAAAGGTCGCGTAATGGGTTAACAGAAAATGATGAAAATACTTGAAATTACCTAAAATCGCGTTTTTCCATGTTAAAACATGGCCTGTCGTATAAATTTGAAGAAAAAATGTTGTTTTGTAGATTTTTTGATTTTTTTCATTAGCATTAGCATTCTTCATGAGCATTTTGTGAAAAATAGCTGTTTTCATTGAAAAGTCTCCCGTTACAAGTTCAAATTGCTATAATACTATAAAAACCGCTTCAACACTAATCAAATTGGCACAAATGTTGACTGGACCATTGCCCTTGAAACAACATGCTCAGGCTTAAACTTTCTGTTACCATGGCAACGAGGGGAAATCTCAAAATTGCCAAAAATCACTATTTTGCGTTGATTTTTTCCATCAAAATTGATTTCAAAGTGCTGCAACTTCTCAATGGATTGAGATAGAGTCAAATGCTTTTCAGCGTTGGTTACACGTTACCTTATGATCAATCTTGGGTCATTTATAGCCTTTCACAAGTCCAAAATTTTCTTGGCGATGAGGGGGATTCCGCCCCCCTTCAAACCCCCCAAACAGAAGGGGGTACATCCCCCTTCTGGCAACCCCCTGATGTATCTTTTGGCCGCGCCGAAAAAGTGGTCACTTTTTTAACAACATTTCTCAAACAAAAACAAGTGTTGGGGGCCTAAATAAGGCATTTTTTCACCATTAGAGACAACAAAAAAGGGGGTGGTGAAAAAGGCGTTAAAAGGCGTGTATATCGCATAACGGGTTAAACAAATCCGACTAAATGTTTTATGTACTTTCAGTTATAATAAATATATAAATAATGTATTGTTTGCTTTTGTACCTATGAATTCACTTATTTTAGGTTGACTTTTACTACATATATTGGAAATAAACTTGTCAGCAACTCTCAGCATTAAATTTACTATTTGTTTACATGTTTAGTTTCTTAGCGTAGGTTAGACCGAAAAACCGCATTCATACTATTGTGTTCGAGGTCCTTATCCGAAGACTGACGGAAAGGCCCGAGCAGTTGCGATTGCGAAACAAATATTGCATATTGTGACAATCAGAAGTCAACTGGGCTTTTTGAAGGCATGTAATAATGATTGATAATGCCCACGAAGGAAGGCATATTTAAATTGACCTTCCTATCCGTCCAAAAGGAATCTTAATGGCGAAAAATATAAGAAATTTGAAATCATAAAATTACTTTGAGTCTGTAAAGACTTTAAATACTAGATTTTTTTTAAAAATCAGTTTCATGGAGCTAGTAATCAGTATATTGCTTTTAGTATTTCTGTCCTCACCGTTCGAATCCCGCAAGATACTTAATATTTTATATGAGGAAGATTCTCTAACTAATTTACGGAACGTCACTGATTTTATTCAGGTTCGTGCCTGAAATAATGTACGGAGAGGCACCTGAGGTCTTTCTGAAAAAAGTCACAATGTATGTTCCTGACGTAAAATCCGACAAAAATCTATTTGTATCAGACTGCTTATTTTGTATATTTTGTTGTATACAATATCAACTTGGTTATTTTTAGGTTATACAAATTTATTTTAGTCCTGTCGTTTTGGAAGCTCGATGCGTGATAAGAACTGAAAACCAACCAGCACTAAGCAATGATTGTAAAATTATTTTTACTAAACGACTTGCCACTGACTGGGTTTGAACCCACGCGGCCAGCAATCGTTAGATTACTAGTCTGACAAGTTAATAACTGGACCAAACCACATCTAACTTGATTATTTTTAATGAAGTCTCATTAATAATCTTATTACGCACATTCTGTGCGTTCGATGAGATCAAGACCCAATATAACAATTAATGATTATAATCCGGTCAACTACGGTACATGTACGCTTGTTTGTGCGCGAGTGTGCGTTTGTGTGTAATTGTGTTTGTTTTAATTGCCTTTGTCACCGGCAAAAACATGAGATCACTTCCATTTCCTTTCTGCAGGCCTTATCATTTTGCCACGGCTAGCCGCTATTCATACTAAATAACGCAAAAGAATATGACCTAAAAGTCCGTGACCATCTACATTCTTGCCCATGCTTGAACTCCACCTAAATACCTTATGACCAAATGGCTAAAAAATGATATCAATGTCAGTCATTATAGATGTTTATGATTTATGAACGTCAATTTTTCCAAATAGTGTTTAATATAAGATATTTGATTAAGATTTGCTACGCAAAATACACTAGTTAATATACACTAGTTTACCTACGTCTGGCATATCATTTTACCTTCCACGCGAGGAATTCGGGCGATACCCTTTAATTGCCGCAATACCATGCGATACCTTACGCTTTTTTTTCTAAAACACATTCACCCCTTCAGACTACATACCGGCAAAGTCTTGCCGAAATGGGGATGCATAATATAACCAGTGGAGATCTTCTTTCTACATGTACTTTAGTTAGAACTTTTTAAAACTTATGAAAACAAGACTTTTTTAGCTCAGTAGAGGTATTGTTATAGTCGCGGCGCCGATGCCGTTGCCGTTGCCGCCCGCAATCTTGTACCTGGATAATAACTTTTTTAGTTCTTGGTGTATTGTCTTCATACTTGGCCACAACAACCCTTCAGTAGACCACACTAACCTTGACCTTCATCCATAAATGACCTTGACCTTCAAGGTTAAAAGTCCAAATGAAGCTTGTTCTTGCTATTATTGGCTGTAACTTTGTTATTTTTAAATGGATTGTCTTAAAACTTAAACATAATAATCTTCAAGGATAACCCTTAAAAATTACCAGACAGACCTTGACCTTCACTCATTAATGACCTTGACTTTGAAGGTCAAATTATTGAAATTTTTCATTGTTTTGGCTGTAACTGGCTGTAACTGCTATTATTGAAGGGATCAACCATATATTATGACAGAACATTCTTAAGGACAAGAACTTGTTGTTTATCAAACCCAAATTGACCTTGGCTCTTTGTGACCTTGACCTTGAAGTTTAAATTACTGAATTTTCTCAGATTTGTGCATTAAATGACCATATATATTTATTGGTGTGTGTGTATATATATATATATATAGAGAGAGAGAGAGAGAGAGAGAGAGAGATATCTATCTATCATCAACATCAACAACAACATTATAGAATTGAGTGTTTCTATTTATAGAATTGAGTGTTTCTATTTATAGAATTGCGTGTTTCTATTTATAGAATTGTATGTTTCTATTTTTAGAATTGCACATGTTTCTTTTTTTAGAATTACGTGTTTCTATTTTTAGAATTGCGTGTTTCTATTTTTAGAATTGCGTGTTTCTATTTATAGAATTGCGTGTTTCTATTTTTAGAATTGTGCGTGTTTTTATTTTT